GCTAACTGCTGATCGCCAAATAATGACATTGCGAGGTAGTTTCCCACTTCAATTTGTTGTGTGATTTGAATACTCTTTTTGTCAATAAATCCCCCAGTAGTTAATATAATTGGCTTAATTATATTTTTTTATTTTATAAAACAATTATTATTATTATTATTATTATTATTATTATTATTATTATTATTATTATTATTATTATTATTATTATTATTAAATATATGTATACCATTAGGTCATTTTACATGTTAATCTAAACAGTTAATTTTTTCAAATATCTTTTAACCAACCGTTAATATAATTTGCTGGTCAAATCCGCTAACGCTAACCGCTAACTGCTACTTGTCAAACATGGATATTGCGAGGCAATTCTCACTTCAATTTGTTGTGTGATTTGATTATTTGAATACTCTTTTTGTCAACAAATCCCTCAAATAGTTAATATGATTGGCTTTATTAATTATAATGTTTTAATTTTCTCATGGTATTAATAAAATACTTGGTAAATAAATATATAACATTATTTTGTATTATAACTTTGATATTTAATTAAAAAATAGTGCACGAAAAAGATAATAGACAGTGTAGTGAATATAATCAATTGATGAATTTGAATATAAAGAATTTTTATATTGGAGAAAAATAAAGACAATATAACTAATAAAATTATTTCTCTTATTTAATTTATTGATAATGAATCATTTTTATTTTTTTTTGAATAAAGGCATTATAGACACATAATTCTAAATTAAAGAAATGCATATATATTATTTTTTGTTGGAGCTACTAAATTATTATTTAATTTATAATTTAATAAGAGTAAAATAGAGTACTAATTATGTCAACTTTGATTAGGATGGGGTTCGAACCTAAGACCTTTCTTATTGGAATTAATGGATAAGTTAACGGTGAATTAACAGAAATTAACGGAAAAGATAATATTTTTTTTGAAAGCCAAGGACGTTGGCATATTTTAATTAATGAAAGGAATCAAGCAGTCAGGAGGGATATAGTCCCAATACATAGAATGTTCCTGATCAAAAGCTAGTGTAGCTAAAGTATGAGCACTGACATTAACTAATCTAGAGACAATATTAAAAGAGCAATACATAAATTGGGCCATAATTGCCCGACATTGATCCTCCACCACTCCTTCATAAGATAGGATGGTCGTAGGACTAGATAGTAAGTGATGTCGTAGTTGTGTGCAATCAGTCAGCATATCCACATCAAGTTCGTTCCGCTCCTTAAGCCAAGATAACGCTTCTTTGCATGCTAGGGCCTCCGCCATAAGAGGTGACAAACAAGTCATGAGTTTTCCATTCGTTGCGGCCTTGAATGAACCATCCGGATGAAGTAATACCACGCCATATACTGCGTCCCCCGTCTGCGGCCGATATCCACCGTCGAAGAAACACCGCGGTCGTCCGTGAAGCACCGGTGGAGGCTGCTGCGCCGATGTAACACTGCCCGGGCAGTGTGCCTGGGAATACGCCGTTCTTGCCGCGGCCGCACGTCTCCATGTAATGGGAGGTAGCAGTAAAGCTCTCTTCCACACAGCTTCGTTTCGGGCATTCCACAAATGATAAAGAACTCCTACCAGTGTGGCAAATTGCTCCTCCGTTAAGTTGGCCATAGCACCCATTATCCATTCTGGAAAAGTAGCAGCAATAATATTTGTAATAGGCAAACCCGAAACATTCCAAACAATTCTAGAATAATCACAAGAAATTAGTGTATGCATAACATTCTCATGTGATGTATCACACATTGGACATGTAGGATCAACTTCTACTCTCTTTATAATCAGGTTGTTTGTGGTTGGGAGGATATCACATAAGGCTCTCCACAAAAAGGTTTTCCACTTGGGTGGAATTTTCAACTTCCACAATGTGATCCACTTATCAAAGGTACCCGTATTATTTTCATAATTTCCAACAATCTGCCTGTATGCATTTTTAACAGAATATTCACCCCTCGGGTCCTTATACCAATATCACGAGTCTTCATACTCCGGGCTTACAGGGATCCTATATATCCGGGCCACATCGTCAGGTTCAAATAAATCACTTAAAATATGAGGATCCCATGTTTTCGTCTGCTGGTCAATCAAACCTACAACCCTTGCCTCACGCAGTTCCTCAGGCATTTCTGTTTGTATTAAAGGACTTGGATCATCAGGTAACCAGGGATGTCCCCAGATCAGAGTTTTTTCCCCATTTCCAATCCTTCTCCTTACTCCAGCGCAAACTATTCCATGGGCAGCCATTATACTCCGCCAACAATAACTGGGACAGTTCCCTATCTTGGCATCGATAAACGAGGTCGTCGGGTAATAACGTGCTTTATATATTCTTGCCGCAAGAGAGGTTGGGTTAGTAAGAAACCGCCATGCCTGCTTCCCTAACATAGCCAGGTTGAAAGAACGGAGATCTTTAAATCCCAAACCTCCATATTTCTTTGGAACACATAGTTTATCCCAGGCCTTCCAGTGAATCCCTCTGTCCACCCCTTTTCCCCACCAGTACCTATTCATCATCCTCTCAATAGATAAACAGACTGTATCAGGCAGTAAGAAAATACTCATTGAAAAGGTAGGCATAGATTGAGCCACACTTTTCAAAAGTACCTCTTTTCCTGCTTGTGACAACAGTTTCTTGTTCCATGATCCAATCCTCTGTCTGATTTTATCTTCCACATAAGAAAAGACTGCTCTCTTATTCCTCCCAATGAATGATGGAAGGCCTAAATATTTACCAAAGTTTGGTGCCTGGTCCACGCCTAAAACACTAGCCACGAGTTCCCTATCCTCCCTTGTGGTATTTCTGCTGAAGCAAATATTTGATTTATGATAATTAACCATCTGGCCAGATAAATTCTCATACCTCAATAGACACTGTTTTATCACACTTGCCTCTTGTAAATTTGCCTTGAAAAACAATAAGCTGTCATCTGCAAAGAAAAGATGTGACACTGGGGGTGCCCCTCTAGCCACTCTACATCCATGAATCGAACCTGCCAGCTCAGCTTTTTGTAATAATAAAGACAATCCTTCAGCACATATAATAAACAAATACGGTGAGAGGGGGTCACCTTGCCTGAGACCTCGTGTTGGGATTATTTTTCCTCCAGGCACCCCATTTACCACAACCTGATATGTCACAGTCGTCACACATGTCATAACCAAATCAATCCACCCTTTATCAAACCCCATCACCTGTAACATCTTCTTCAGAAACGGCCACTCCATCCTATCATACGCCTTTGCCATATCTAACTTTAAAGCACCCCATCCCACATTACCACATTGCTTCCGATTTAAAAAGTGCCCCACCTCTGAAGCCACCAGGATATTATCTGTGATCAACCTCCCTGAAATGAAAGCACTCTGGGATTCTGATATTAGATTTTCCATAAGCGGTTTCATCCTATTGGTCATCATTTTAGCCATAATCCTGTACAATACATTACTGAGAGCAATTGGCCGCATATCACCGACCGTTTCAGGCACATTTTTCTTAGGGATCAGAATTATATTCGTATCATTCAAACCATTTGGGAGGATCCTTGTATTTAGGGCATTAAGAATAAATTCAGATACATCCACTCCCACCACATCCCAAAAATGTTGATAAAAACCCGGGTTCATACCATCTGGCCCGGGGGCTTTATCCGGAAACATAGAAAATACTGCAGTTCTAACCTCATTAATATCAAAGGGGTGCAAAAGGGCCATATTCTGTGCCGGGGTGACACGTGGGGTAAAATCGTTAAACAAAGGATCACTGCATATAACATTATTCGTTGCAAAAATCCCCTCAAAATATCTCATAACAAGCAGATTCATATTTTCTCCCTCCACCCATTCCCCATCATCATTCATTAATTTAGCAATTAAATTCTTCTTTTTCCGGGCAGAGGCATACCTGTGGTAAAATTTTGTGTTAGCATCAGCACCACGCAACCAATGCTGTTTCGCCCTCTGTCTCCAGAAAGTATCCTCCTGCGCCTCCAACTGGGTCAGTTGAATTTCAAGGTTCTGAAATTCAGCTAAGGCATCCGGATCACGCATATGTCTAATGGACTCCTGTTTCGTACGTATCCGCTTAATCCGGTCCCCGAATTTATGGAAGTGGTCCCCTCCCCATCGCATCAGACTGTTTCCACAATATTGCTGACAATTCAACAACCCCTCAGTCCTCCGGTCATGCCAGGCTGTCTCAACCACCTCCCTGCACCCCTCATCCAGCAACCAGGCCATCTCAAACCTGAACCCTCTGTGACCCCTTCTCCTCTGCCCGCATGATTCTGCAATCCTTAGAAAAAGGGCCGAGTGATCTGATTTGCGTGTTAGGATATTATGTACCTCTGCATGGGGATTAATATCCCCCCAAGATGCCGTTGCCAACACCTTATCTAACCTCTCCTCAATCCAATTGTTCGTGCCTTTGCTTTTCTCCCAAGTAAATTGATAGCCCCTCATAGCCATCTGCGCTAAACCACAACCATCAATCACCTCCCCGAAACCGCGAAGGAGACTATTTGGGTGCGGGTTCCCCCCCTTTTCTCGTGCTGATATAGGAGATCATTGAAATCCCCTATTACAACCCAAGGAAGCGAGGATCTCCCACTCAGCGTCCCCAATAGTTCCCACGATTCCCTCTTGTCTTCCCGCTTCGGGAAGCCGTAAAACCCAGTCATTCTCCAGACTCTATTCCCAGCCAATCGAACCTCCACATCCACATGATTCTTAGAGTAGCTTAGGAGGGTAGCAGTATTGTTTTTCCTCCACAGCAACGCTAAGCCTCCCCCATTCCTCTCGTTGTCCACATAGAACAACCCTTCAAAACCAATTTTAACTCTGAGTCGTTCCGCATAATCCTGTCCTACCATCGTTTCCATCAAAAATACAAAATCCGGCTTCTTACTGGACACCATGTCCACTATCTCTCGAACCGTCCGTGGATTGCCTAAGCCACGGCAGTTCCAACTAAGAGTACTCATTGGGTTGGGCGGGCCTGGGAACCAGTACCCGCCTGTTGCAAGTTTTTTGAACGATCTGCCATCACAACATCACTCCCCTCCACCTCATACCCCACATCCTCACCCTCCAACCCCTCCCGCCGGCGCTTAGCCACAGCAACCACACCGGTCTCACCCTCAACCTCCCTGCCCGACCCAACCCCACGTTGCGCCGGCCCATTTTTCCCCTCACCCGAGCCACTCCCCCTCACTGCCGTCGGCAGCGGTAGCAACCAGCTGCCCCCGACCGGTCTCGGTCCCCGACTTCCACGCGCCCGCAAGTCCGGGCCATACAAGTACTCTTCAACCGGCATCACTGAATCCCTTGCACCCCTACAAAATTTGTAAGAGTGGCCAAGCATTTCGCAGAAGTAACAATACGTGTGCAACCGCTCATACTTAAAGTACACCCAACAACTCGTTTTGTCCCGCTTAATAAACTTCATTCGGCGTTTCAATGGCCTATCAACCGATAGTGAAACCCTAACTCGATAAAAGGTTCTCCAGGGCATATTCTGAAAACGATCATCTCTTTTAACAAACACCCCTAAATAATTCCCAATCTGTTCCTGTATCAACTCAGATGTGTAGCCCATTGGTAACTCATGGATTTGCACCCACATGTCCACCGTATCCAACTTAACATTAACCGGCAAAACATTCTCAGGGACTTGCTTGCAGACGAATGTGCTATTATCATATGACCACGGCCCCTCCTCAAGAACGCGTTTAACATCCGTTATGTGATGAAAAACGAATAGAAACACGCCCGGTTGTATCTCAGATGCCTGAACCCCACTGACTGGCTGCCATACAGACGCCATAACCTGACTCATGAACTCAAGTTTCACCAGCTTCCTTGTGAGGAAACGGCCTACCACCCCCCATAAGGGCTCGTCCTCCCCCACTGCTTCCCCGTTCTGCCCATCTGCCAACTGCGGTACAAAACCCCCCTCCTCCTCCGCCAACACCATGTCCGCCCACTGCGCTGTCAAACCCGCCACGGCTGCCTGGTCCGCCATCCTCCACGCCACAAGACAGAAACGCTGGCAAGCTAATCGTCTCGTCGCCGTTCACTGTCGCAGTATTAATGTCGTAACCGGAGATCAAATCCGTAAGAAAATCGAATGAAAAAGTCGAGGAAACCGACTGAAACCCTAGAGCATCGAAAACCTAGGTAGAGAGTAAGACGGAAAAGATAATATTTAACGGATTCATTAAGGATAAATTAGGAAATCTGAAGGAAAAATAAAAATCTAATCAATCTGAGCCATTTATTTGATTAAAATCTATGACCGCCATTTTTTCTACCCATTATAGGCTTAACTCTCTTGGGCTCTTATTAGTATAGTAGAGATTATAGCAATTGCGTGTGAACTATAGCATTAGGCAAATTATGCCCTGGACCCGTGTCCACAGTGAATTGTGGACACAGACCCAAAACGACGTCGTTTTTTTTTAAAAAAAAAAAAAAAAAAAAAAAAAAAAAGAAACGAGTCATTTAGTTTTAAAAAAAAAAAAAAAAATCGTGCACGTTTTGCCGTTAACGGCGTTATTTTTTTTTTTTTTGGATTATGAATGTACAGTTATGCCGTTATGAATGTACAGTTATGCCGTTATGAATGTACAGTTATGCAATTATGAAATTATGAACACAGAGCTCTAACATTATGAACTTACAATTATGAACATATATAGTGATAAAATTATGACCATGGAGCTTTAAAATTGTGAATATAGAGCTTCGAAGATTATGAATGTCAGTTATGGAGTTATGAATCTACAGTTATGGAGTTATGAATCTACAGTTATGAGATTATGAATCTACAGTTATGAAATTATGAATGTACAGTTATTGATCGAATTATGAACAAAGAGCTCTAACATTATGAACTTACAATTATGAACATATAGTGATAAAATTATGAACATAGAGCTCTAAAATTGTGAACATAGAGCTTCGAAAATTATGAATGTACAATTATAGAGTTATGAATGTACAGTTATGGAGTTATGAATGTACAGTTATGGAGTTATGAATGTACAGTTATAGAGTTATGAACGTACAGTTATGGAGTTATGAATGTACAGCTATTAATAATATAGTAATAAAATTATGAATATATACTCCTATAACAAAGCGGTCTGAAATTTAAAAAAAAAAAAAAAAAAAAAAAGAAAAAGAAGAAGAAGGAGATAACAGTGCATATCCGTGTCCAGCAAGCATGTTGGACACGGGTCCAACAAGCATGCTGGACACGGGTCCAACAAGCATGCTGGACACGGGTCCAACGCATAACGATTGATAGCATTACGCGGACGGAAAGAAATCACCTCATCATTACCATAAGAGACGACGGACTATGAGTTGCAAGAGCTGAGGCGGCTACCCAAAAACCACCAAATCCATTGACAGTCAGTCAGTCTACACTCGTTTTCCTTTTCCTTTGTATTCTTCTACACAAATACAACCACTATACATAATTATATATTAGTAAAAACAGCAGTAATATATATATATATATATATATATATATATAATGGCACCCTAGCTTTTTTTAATCTAAATTGAAATTTGGAACCCACCATATAAAGTCCAACTGTCGTGTAGTTGGAATCCTCAATTCACGTTCTGTGTTCATACCTTTATTCTTCCTCCAAGAAGCTTGCAGGAACCAACCACATAGGACACAACATACATATAAACCTTATATAAAGGACATCATATCACAGTAGAACAATATAATTGTATTCAATTAATTCTCAAGTAGTCATCAGTTGTCTTAGCTTCATTCTACACAATGAGGAGGAGCATTCTGGTTACTGGTTCTTTAATCCTATGTTTTGTTCTGTTCTTGCATCCGGCATCCACCAGAGCACAAGAAGTGGGTAAGTATCATATTGAAGTCTGTCTGTGTTCCACTGTTACCAAACATCATTGAAATTGTGCAACGCAACCAAATTGGTTAGGCGGTTGATTACTTGATAACGGAAAGATTACATGTACTTGTTGGACGAAGGCCAGTAAATGCCAAGTCTAGCACAAGATGGCTGGGATTGTTGAGCGGAGGCCAATAAATGGCCAAGTCCAACACCCAATGTCTTGAAAATAAAGTTGTGACTTCGTTACTAGCTACAACTTTTAAGGTAAGTGATAAAAGCTTGATCTAACGCCTGGTATCAGAGCGATCATGAGTTCGAGTCCCAACACTGACCAAATCTAGCATCCGGTGGCTGGAGATTGTTAGTAGTCTATTAATTTTTTGGTTTGAATTAGTTAGGGACAACCTAGATTGATATACCTGGTCGAGTCCCAACACTGGCCAAATCTAATTGTTAGCAGTCTATTGATTTTTTTATTTGAGTTAATTAGAGACAACCTAGGCTGATATACCTGATCCTTTGCGGACTAAGGTCATCAGACAGAGTTTCTGGCATGGGTGCACACTCTCGAATAGAGGCTGTGGTTTCCCTCGTCACCCTAAAAACATCATTGAAACTGTGTGAATTGAATTGCAGAGGATGAGAGGGAGTTCGATTATGCGGAGGGGAGTGAGAAGGGGCCGAGGAGATGGGGAGAGTTGAAGAAAGAGTGGGCAGCTTGCAGCAATGGAGATATGCAATCCCCCATTGATATGTCACATGAAAGAGTGAAGATTATCACAACACATCATCATGAGATGAGGAAGCATTACAAGCCTGCCAATGCTACTGTCAGGAATCGAGGCCATGACATAGCAGTAAAAATCATATCAACCCAATTTTTTATTTTAATTATTATTATATATTAATTAATTTATAATAACATTTTAAATTAATTAATTATGCAGATTGAGTGGCATGGAGATGCTGGCTCAGTTATCATCAATGGAACAGACTACTTTCTCAAATCAGCCCACTGGCACTCTCCTTCAGAGCACACTATTAATGGAAGAAGGTATTTAATTAAATTACTTTTCATTATTTAAAAATGAATATATTTATTTGTTATTTTCTTAGTATTCATCGTTTAGGGAAGTAGGGAATTAGAATCTTATGATAACAATGTTACCTCTAAAAAATAGTAACAATGCTAGTTGTCAATTTGGAATAATCAACTAACAACTTTAAAGTAAGAAAAAAAAGAAGAAAAATGTTTACGATATTTTTAGTAATTATTGTAAATTCAAGGTGTACACAGGGTAAAGTTTCATGTTGCATCTGCAAATATAGTAAAATAATATATCTAACTTGAATGCACTCTTATGTATTAGTTGATTCACTTTGAAAGTTTACCTAATGCACTTATGAAGTTTGCAATAATTACTAAAATATTGATGTATATTTTCTTTAATTTTAAATTGCTGATCATCCCATGTTGAGGACTAGTATTATTTCATATTTTTGTTATCAGAAATATTGTTCTCATTTAAACTTACTCTATAAGTAGGTATATTAAGGCTCTGTTTGGTAAACCTAGCTGAAAAGCTATAAGCTAGGAATTGAAAGCTGAAAAGGAGCTGAAAGCTGAAAAACTATAAGCTCAGAGCTGAAAACTGAAGAACTGTTAAGCTAGCTGTTATTATTGAAAGTGTTTTGTAAAATTAGCTTTTTGATAAATTGATAAATGTAAAAAGACTAAAAATGACATCTTCATAAAATTTAAATTAGTTTGTTTACATATTAAAATTTAACATTTTGTCTTTTAAAAAAAATAACATTTAAAATAAAACTATTAGCATAATCATGATTTAGCATCTCATAATGAAGTAGCAATATTTTTACAAATCTAATAATAATAATAATAATAATAATAATAATAATAATAATAATAATAATAATAATAATAATAATAATATTTGCGGTGAAAGTTGCGGATAAAAGAAAAGAGAAAATGATTTTAATTGGAAAGGGTAAATTATGTCATTTCTTTAAAATAATAAGGATAAAAATAGAAAAAAAATTAGGAAGTTAGAAGCTTATTTTGAAACGCTACTTAAGGTAGCGTTCCAAAATAAGCTCTTATTTTAAGCTAGAAGCTTATTTTGAGAACATTACCAAACAGAGCTCATAGCTTATTAATAGCTTAAAATAAGCTATAAGCTCCTAAATAAGCTCTGCCAAACAGAGCCTAATTAATATATAATAAGATGTTATACTTATTGTTAGAAAAAAAAAAAGTATTAACATAAAAATGGTTGGTTTGTTTTACTAGGTATGCTTTGGAATTGCACATGGTACACCAAAATACAGACCAGAATTTGACTAATCAAATAGCTGTCATTGGTGTTCTGTACAAGATTGGCAAACCTGATGCTTTTCTGTCCAAGGTAATTATGGTCCCTTTAGTAACATAGTTAACTTATCAACTAATTTTAATTTATTTAATTATTATTAGCTGTTTGACTTTGGTTAAACAACCAATATAAGTGTTTGATTAATTAGTTTTTTGTAACAGCTTATTACTCTAAAACGCTAAAATATAATTCAAAAAATTGCTCAAAGTAATAGCTACTCCGTATTTACCAAACATCCCCTATATATGTTCCTTTATGTTTCTCTTTACAACATGGTAATAATCCATTATCACATATTATAAATTAGACTAAATACTAAAATAAAAACATTTTTTTTAATCAAAACAAAACATTATTGCAGTTGATGAGGAATATATCATCCATGATAGATAGAGATGTAGAGAAAGAATTGGGCATGTTTGATCCAAGTGATATCAAGATGAGGAGTAAAAGACATTACAGATACATGGGCTCCCTCACTGTTCCTCCTTGCACTGAAGGGGTAATTTGGACAATTAACAAGAAGGTACACCCAATACAACGTTGTACCGTATCATATTATAAAAAGATTTACGAGTGTTTATTTTCTTTATTTTTGAATACTATCGTCTATGTTACAGTGTGGTATCTATTTATTTTATGAGTGTTATTTTGTTTACTATTTTTTATATATAATAATATATAACTACAAGTAGTGCTATTTAAAGATTGATCTGACAAGTGGTTTGAATAATGGGATTAGGTGAGAACTGCTTCAAGGAAACAAATTAAATTGCTCAGAGAAGCTGTTCATGATGTAAGTTTCTTCTTATCCGTATTTTTTTTTATTACTAATTATTCTATTACAAGGTAATGAAGGTAATATCTATTTTATACTATTATATATTAGGGTGGGGTTCAGCCTTTTTAGAAGAATGTATTCATTTATATAAACATTTTACAGTTTTAGTCCTTAAATTAGAAGTCCCTACTTAATATGATATTATAATAGTACCCCTAATAAGTCATTAAGGTAAGATATTTAATATTTCTTTTGACGAATATTTTTATTTTTGACCAAAAAACCTACACGTGTTTCTGACGTGACTTGTAATTGATAGTGTATTGTGTATGTATTTCTTTCAACTGCCAACGGTTCTAATTTTCACATTTTATGAATACTTTAAACCCCAACAAATACACTCTTCCCCATCCTTCGTTTATGGCTTAAAAAAAACACTCTTCCCCATCCAAAATTGATTAAATCATCCACAAAGATCAGCTCTAATGTGTACGTAGTAGGAACTTGCCGGGTGTTGTTTAAGTTTTATCTAAGAAAATCATATTGATGCCGGGTGTTGTTTAAGTTTTATCTAAGAAAATCATATTGATGCCGGGTGTTGTTTAAGTTTTATCTAAGAAAATCATATTGATGCCGGGTGTTGTTTAAGTTTTATCTAAGAAAATCATATTGATAATATATATATATATATATATATTGTCATTTCTATATTAGTGTTGTTTAGATTTTCATTCAAAATAAGTACATCCATCTTAACAATAACTAAATATGTCACCTTGGTCACTAATTACAGGGTACCATTGCAATTTCAGATTAATTATGAATGACAAGTACACATGTTGTATAACTAGGAACTAAAACTTCAACTTTTCTATTATTTATTTATGTTAAATTATAAATTTATTATTTATTATTATTATTTTATTTTTATCCTAAAAGAAGTAATGGTTTTGGTGAATGCAGTATGCTGAAAGGAATGCGAGGCCATTGCAGGCACTAAACAGGAGAGAGATCTATCTTCTAAGCCCTGCTGGGAAAAAACTAGAGAAATAGACATTATTATAAATGGGTTGACATTAGAGAAACATATGTATTATTTCATTTGTATATTTTAGTTTGTTTTAATGTTAAAATTTCAAAAGCTAGGATTTTTTGTGCCCAAAGAAATTAGTATTATTATATTCTTTTATACTCGATGAAATGTTGTTATATTTTCTATATGGAAAATACTATATGAACTCTCAAGTTCTATTATCTACTTTTATTCTCTTACTTCAAATTTTGATGTTAACATTTTTCTTGTGACCTTATCATCTCTTACCACATCAGGGAGTAAAAGTGATGGAATAGAAATTTAGAGTCCATGTACTAGAACCCGTTCTATATATGTGCAATATGTTGTATTTGTATCCACTATCAAATTTAGTCGTACGGAAAAACAACTTGTGTACTACTCGTATGATGTATAAGATAGAATTTGAACTTGAAATCATCTTTGATTTACAGAAAATCAGTCTAAATTATTCATAATTGATAAATTTAAATGCAAAAAAATTAATAAGTACCTCTCAGATAGAGTCAAAATTGGAATTACCCTCAACTTGAAACAATATGAGATGTTAGCTCGATTATATAGGCATGATGCTATTAGCACACGACACTTGTAATTTCTCAAAATTTTAATATTTTTTAGAAAAATACAAAATAAAAAAAAATTATGCTTAAATATAAAAGGAAAAAAGACATTTTTTCATCCTGAATTATATGCTTATAGTACTTTTTTTTCTCCTGAATTATTCATGTATTTACATTGGCCCCTTCCATTATTCTAAAAATTACTATTTTTCACATGATATATTAAATGGATATTTTTACCATTAAAATAAATATTTCATTTATTTTTCTTTTCCACCAAATTATTCTTCCAAAAGGCTGAACCCCAACCTTAAGGGCCCCCCACACCCCGACCCGACAGAGCATTTGGGAGGATGTAAATCATGGTAACTCAACTAAACATGATTTTCCACCAAATTTATTACTTATATGTATGATGACCACGGTTAAGTTCGAACCGAACTGGACATTGTAGCAAATGAATCGAAAGGTTGCAGTTATGATTCAAAACCAGAAACCAATGTTTCGGTTTCAGTTGATTAAAATCGCGAACCGGAATAACTGGATCATGAACTGTGAATCGGCTGTTTGAAATCGGAACAACTACTAGCATTAGCTTAAAATTAGAATTATAATATTTACAAATAGTGTATGTTCTTTTTACGTATTTATTCTGATTCTCACATATAAGTAACTATGATCGCGATTTGATTCTGATTATGAATCACCGGTTCACGGCTCACGATCCAGTTTAATTTGAACCGCTGGTTCAATTTTTTTTTTTTTTAAATTCTATTTTTATTTTAAAAATATTTTAAATTCAACAATTAATGTATTTTATTCTTTTTCGATTCGAAACTGGAATCGACAATTCCGGTTTGTGATTTTATTAAACTGAAATCCAAATGTTGGGTTCCAGATCTAAATCATAAACGGAACCTTTCGGTTTGTTGTTATAGTGTCTAGTTTGCTTTGAACCAAATCGTGATCATCCCTACATATAAACAATAATTTGTTGGAGAAGAAAAAAATAAATGAAATATTTATTTTAAGGATAAAAATGTCCATTTAACATATCAGAGAAAAAATTATGACTTTTAAAATAATTGAGGTGCTGATGTAAATACATGAATAATTTAAGAGGAAAACGTATCATTTTCCCAATATATAATATGCCGTACTTGCCATGCATTAGGCAATTTTCATCTTATGTCGTATATGCTTCTGATTTTAGATAAGAGGTTGAAGCGGATTCACAATTATTATAAGTTCATTTTTAGTATACCAGAAGTAAACAAGTTAGTTTTAGTATATTAACAATTCATAAACTATAATGTTGGTCGTATTTTATTAAAAATCTCAATTTTCCATCGCTAAAGTCTAAAGATGACTGGACGAAAAGTTGGACGGAATTTTTGTCCAACGTGCGAATGTTGGACGAAAATTCAGTCCAACATCTAATGTTGGAAAGAAATTCCAGCCAACCTGTAATGTTGGTTGGTAAAATCGAATCGATGGATAGGTAAAGAGTAAAAATGGTAGATATTTTAATTTCCGTCCAACAACAATGTTGAAAGGGAAATTAAAATATTTCACACCAACCTACGTATTTCAGCTCACTTTTTATGACTTTCTTGCATTTTTACTCTCTTCTCTTGTTTCAAACTTGCTTCATCATTCAAAATTAGCACGAATAACAATATAAAAAAGTGATTTTCGACACCAATTTAAGTGTGAGTGGAAAATACTAACTTTTAATTTGTGTTTGTGTGTGTTTTTTTTTTAAATGGATATACACTTGCAAAGATATTATATATCTTTTATCATGATTGTATATATTTTAATAGAGTTTATATATATATATATATATATATATATATATATATATATATATATACACACTGCAGTTTCATTTCACCACAACTACAGTATCATTTTGATATAACTGCAGTTTCATTTGATAATATAAAAATAATACGTGAGACCGTGTCAGTTTAAATATATTGTAGTGTCAATTGATAATTAACATAAAAAACAATGCGCGCTCCGTTAACACTAACGGCGCGTCGTTTCTTTAAGTTAAAGAAACGGCGTCGTTTCAACTGCGGTGCACATGCACCGCGGTCCACGATATAACGACCCCTTGATTTGGCAAACTATACCATGGACCAATTGGTCCACCTTGCACTGTGGATTATGATCTAAACAATATTCATATTATGTATCTATAAATAAATTAAAGTTACATAATATGTTAACTTCAGGTACATAATATGTTAATTGTAATAATTATACTATGTACATAATTTATAAACTATAGGTACATAATATGTTAATTCTAGTAGGTGCATAATTTATTAACTGAATATACATATTCTCTTTATCCAATTTTATCTATTGTATTTACTATTTATTGGTTAAACCAACACTTTTTTCTTTGTTTATTTTCTTTAGTATTTGTACTTATTTTTAAATTTGATTTGTTGCGCTTAATACACAGTAGTAATTTTTGTGTAGTTTTAAATATATTAATTTGTCATACTAATTAATAGTAAACTTAATATTATGAAAAATTGCATTAAAAATAATTTCAGTTAGACATCGTTAATTAAACTAGACACAAAATAGGACATATAGAGTAGTATGTTAAAAGTACATAATTCGAATATTATTTTGGTCCAAGGTCCACAATACAAGATATACCGAACTTCCAAGGTATAACTATTGCCTAATTACCTAATAGATATTTCAGTTGCCAATTGCCTTACAGATGTAAGTAGACAAGGAAACCCACTAAGATTGAAAAACCTGCAAATATCCACATCAAAAGCCACAGCCTGCACCTCAGCAAAAGTGATCAGATGAACAAGATATTAAGCATTATCACATTTGATTACCAGTAACCAAATATTCCCTTTAGTGGCAGCAAATTGAATTAGACCACCACCAACATTATCAACAAAATACCCAACAAATTAAAATCTAGCCGAAAATATTCCAGTCCAGTCAGCTAGACGTCCACCAAAATACCTATATTTGTTCAGAATCCAAAGATAGCTATTGGACAGAATGAATAAACAAACCTAAGCTCATCGCAGCATAAGAACCTATCCTGACATAGCAATAGGCAGAAGTTATATTTGTTGGTTTTATGACTTTTGAATAGTAAACGAATCACCAACACAAACATTAAAATAACGAGTATATAGAAAAATATAAAGAAAATATATAAAGAGAATAAATATGTTGTACTCCCTTAGAATGGTCTGTCCCCTTCCCATGTATAGGGGTAGAAGTGTCAAACAGGCGGGCTTGGACCGGTCCAGTCTGACTTGCCATTGGCCGGTTTATTTTTTGGATCGGGGCAGTCCTGTCTAATTAAAGTTTGGACTAGGCTTGGTCAACTCCAAGAATAAAAATTAAAGTCTGATCTGTCCATAGCCTTAAAAATATTAAAAATTATAAACTGACTAATTTAAGTTATGTATTCCTTCTAAATTAGCTATACAAGTTCACATATTTATTTTCAACTATTTAACTTAAGAATTATTACAAGAAAATAAAGAAATTAATAAATAATAATGTTTTTTTAATAGAATAAATAATAATGTAATACTATTAGTAAGAATAAGTTTACAAATTGCAACTAACTACTAAGTAGTAAGAGTACTTTTTTCAATTTGAAACGAATAAAATTTTACAACTTCAAAATATTTTAAGGTAGTAATTACTACTTAGTATGCTAGTTAGACAGTTAACTAGCTAAATAGTAAATACTTAAGACTCTAATAGGAATAAAATCAATATCAGAGTTTCTAATATGATAATCTCATGAGTCATTACTTGAGTATATATATGTATATTATATATTTTTAAAACTGTATGGACCAACGGGCGGTCCATGGGCCAAAAATTAAAGCATGGCCTTGTTCGTAGTATAAAACGAGCTAGCCCTAGTCCGCTCATTGTAACAATTGGACTAGACCAGGTCACCTTAAACGGATCGGGTCTCGACTGGACTTTGGGCTAACCTGTCTGTTTGACAATAGGGGGTCTATTTATACATATTTTGCGCAAATTATGTTGTGCAACCGAATGCACTATGCGCATGGTGCATACGATGCAAAACGACGTCGTTTTGGTTAAAAAACGCGCGTCCCACTTAAAAAAAAAAAATCAGGTTCGATTCCCGGCAATAGCATTTTTATATATCCATAAATTCATAACTATATATCCATAAATTCATAACTATATATCCACAGTGAATGAATGAAGTAAAAATCCACAATGAATGAACTAAATATCCCCAATGAATGAACTAAGTATCCACAATGATTGAACTAAATATCCACAATGAATGAACTAAATATCCATAAATTCATAACTATATATCCAGAAATTCATAACTATATATCCATAAATTCATAACTATATATCCACAGTGAATGAATGAAGTAAATATCTACAAGGAATGAACTAAATATCCACAATGAATGAACTAAATATCCATAAATTCATAACTATATGTCTAGAAATTCATAACTATATATCCACAATAATGCTATTGCCGAGAAT